TGCTTAGAGTCTAGTCTGCATGAAACACAAAAAGCTGGAAGTGGTACTGTGGCTCAAGTGGTAGAGTGCTATCCTTGAGCAAAAGAAGCCCAGGGACAGTGCCTAGGCCCTGAGTTCAAACCCCAGGACTGGCAAAAAAAAAAAAAAGCCAGAAGTAGAGCTGTGTGTCAAGTTACAGAGCCCCAGCCTTGAACAAGAAAGCTAAAAGATAGTGCCCAGACCCTGAATCCAAGCTCTAGTACTGTCATATTCACACACAAAATCTACGAAACTTCCTAGAACCATGTGAATACATCAAGGTGTATGTGGGTCATTAAACCTGAGGTTTTAGCATTAAGCCTGCCCTTGCAGTGAGGCAGACAAGTGAGAATGAGAGAAAGGTCTAAAAGGGACTTTGAAACAGCTTTATTACTCAAATCACTCTGAAGTAATTTCTCAACAGACTGAACACAGATTTCACTTGCTCCTAATGATGTTTCTTTCATTAAATCTAAGACTGGGTTCTGAGGAACCCCAGAATCCTACAGCAAAGGTAGTCTTAAAAACTTGAATTTTTATATGATTATCAGATGATTCCAGGACGAGAAAAAGTGAGCAATACTCATCAGAAGTGGAAGAGTTCCCTATTTTGTATACAGCACTATAATTCAATACCAAATACATTTTAGCATTATAAAGATTGGCCAGATATGTCTTAGCAAAGAAAAAGTAAGTTTATTATTTTGGTTCTTATCATGAGATGCAGAGGAGATTTCTAAAAGGTTCTTATCAACTCTAACACCAAAACTCATCTCACAAACAGGGTATGATGGTTCAGACCTGTAATCTTAGCGCTGGCAGGCTGAGGAAGCAGGAGTCTGAGTTCCAGGCCAACTTGAGATATATAGACAGATGGTATCCAACTCCCCACCCCCCAAATAAGAAGTGGTCAGGGGGATACATGCTTCACGTGCTTATTTATGTATTGGTAAAAAATAACTTTAAAAACCAAAGTTTGGCGTACTGTTGGTTATGTCTTCTCTTCCCTAAGGTCTTGTTTGTAGCTACACTGGCTTTTGATTTGGCATAGTTCCTAATGTCTACTCCCTAAATATTATTGTAACAGTTTTTAAAATGCACTAGATATGGAATCAGTCTTACTGAGGTCATTTGGATTATCAAGCCTTGATTAATTACACCAGAGAGTAATATTCTAAAATTAAAATGAATATTTCCTGTATTTCTAGCTACTGTAATTCTAGCTACTCAGCAGGCTGAGATCTGAAGATTGTGGTTCATATCCAACCCAAAGAAGTCTGCAAGACTCTTATCTCCAATTAACCAGCAAAAAGCCAGAGTGAAGGTGTGCTCAAGTGGTACAGCATCAGTCTTGAACAAAAAAGCTAGGAGCATGAGGTCTTGAATTCAAGCCCTAATACAGGGGCTTTAAACAAATCAGTTTACATTATAACACAGAGGTGGATTTCATTGTTACATTTCCACATTTAAGATATATCCAATCAATCTCATTACTTTATTGCCCTCTTCTTCTCCTACTCAAAGCAATTTCAAGTTTCCATCCGTTTTCATAGCTGCAATCTTCTTCAACGATATTCATCCTCTTCCAAAATATGTTTCAGAATTCACTATTTTTTATGTTTTCTTCCCCATCTTCTCTGAACTAGTCCTTTACATTCTTGTTCTATTTGTCCATGTAGAGTTATGCATATGTATATATGTGGCTATGTCTATGTCCATAACTGTCTTTTAGCTTCCACATATGCAATATACCATATTTTGATTTTTGAACTTGGCCTGTCTCCCTCAGTATGATTTAATATTTTTATATTTTTTAGGGCTAAATCTAATGCTCAAATTTTTTGTTTCTGTGTCAGTCTTGGGCTTGAACTCGGCTTGGCAACCGTCCCTGAGCTTTTTTTGCTCAAGACTAGTGCTTGATCACATGAGCCACAGCCAGGCTTGGACCACCAGCAAGCAACCTCTCCAATGCTAAATATATTTTTAAAATATTAACTTATTCATAGTTTTGAAATGAGAAGTGTCTTTCAAATAGGAAAGTTGTATTTTACTATAAAATTGAAACACTGAAGTAATTATTCTGCAGAGAATGAGAATCATTACTAAATCAGAGATACTGTTAGTTGCTGTTATAAACAATGCAAAATGAACAATGGATTTTAATTAAAACAATGCTAATAGGCCTTTTCTTATTTAGAAATATCAGTTTCTCATTAACTATGGCAAAAGTTACAGTAGCGTTTTTTCCCTCTACTGCTAGAAAGTATATTGAATCTGGGGAATTGCTTGCGTTATCAGGAGCTTGTGGACTGGGACTTCTGGCCTGAGAATTGGTCCTTCCCTTTTTTTTTTGGGCCAGTTCTGGGGCTTGAACCCAGGGCCTGGGCACTGACTCTGAGCTTCTTTTGCTCAAGGCTAGCACTCTCCCACTTGAGCCACAGTGCCACTTCCGGCCTTTTCCGTATATGTGGTACTGAGGAATCAAACCCAGGGCTTTATGCATACTAGGCAAGCACTCTACCATGAAGCTACATTCCCAGCCCAAGGTCCTTCCTCTTTTGTACAGTGTCTCCCATGCTTCCATTCCCTTTTGTGAGGTTTTATTACCTCCAGACGGGAGTGTGTGTGTGTGTGTGTATGTGTGTGTACCAGTATTAGGGCTTGACCTCAGGGCCTCATTATGCTCTGACTTGCTTATCTTGAGCAAAAGAAACAAATAAGAGTACAAGGACCTGAGTTCAAACCCCAGTACTAGTCAAAGAAAAAAAGGGAAGAAAAAGGAACAAAAGAAATGAGCCTGGAACTTGTTAATAAGGATTATCTAGGAACAGAATGAATTAAAAATAAATTCATAGTGGGACACCGGTGGCTCATGCCTTAATCCTAGCTACTCAGAAGGCTGAGATCTGAGGATCACGGTTCAAAGCCAGCTGAGCACAAAAGTCCATGAAACTCTTATCTGTAATAAACTACTCAGAAAACCTGAAGTGGTGCTGTGGCTCAAGTGGTAGAGCACTAGCCTTGAGCTGAAGCCCTGAGGGACAGCACCCAGGCCAAGTTCAAGCCTCAGGACCAAATAAATAAATAAGTAAATAACTAAATAAATAATTCAGAAGCTAAGTGTCTGATTTGGACTTATACAGTCCAATGTTTTCAGCAACAAAAGATAAACATAATATCCAGTGGTGCAATGCACGTAGTTTAGAAGTATATTAAACTTCTGTGCTGCAAACATAATTTCACAGAAGCAACCGCAATTGATGCTACATTTCCTGTCATGGAGTTAGCCTGGACCTGTATGAGGGGCTGGGATCCGTCACCCTCTGGGATGTTTCAGATTTCAACCCCTCCCTCCAGCCGGCCAGAGTCATGGACTTTCTAGCTTCAACTCCACTCCAGTTAAGCCTCTGTGCCCACTGTGTAATTCTATAGGGGTTTTTTCTCCCCACATGACTCTACCAGTTAAGCCATACTTCCATGTCTAGCTTTTTGGTAGTTAATTGGAGATGAGTCTCATGGACTTTTCTGCCTGGACTGGCTTCAAACCATGATCCTCAAATCTTAGCCTCTTGAGTAGCTATGATTACAGGGACCAGTGCCTGACTTGTGGCTTTTGACAAGAGAATAATTTCTTCTTTGATCTCATAAATTACTGTGGACTTAAAATTTCCATCCCACCTGTTCTTTCTTCTAATTTCTATGGTAGATTAGTTTTATCAATTTTATCTTCTAGTTTATATTTTATATTATTATAATCCTGCTTTTCATTTTCCCAAAGTATCCCATAAAGGGAATGAGGAAATACTCTCAAACCTCTAGTCCTCCAGCCTCCTCTGAGTCATCCAATCAAGACAAAGGGCCTCCACTGCCCAGGGAATAGGGTGGGGTGGTCATCCTTCCTTCATGAGCACTTCTGAGGACTTGGGCATTTTCATTTGTAATTCTTTGTTGTTTCAGGTCTGTCTCTGGTCTTGATATCAAAATGATCTTCTGTAAGCCATCACTGCCTATTTCGGTTTTCAAGTTGGACTGCTCTGCAAATTTCTACCATTCACAGGAACCACAACATTCTCTGGAATGTCGTCTCAAATGGGATAAGCACAAAGATGGAGGAGTCTCAAGCTCCATGAACCAGTGTCACCATGAGCTAGGGGTGATGGCCTAACAAGTGCTATGCTGACCCACATTCTTTCAGCACTTAGATTCACCTAAGTGCAGTTCTATGTTAGCTGCTCTCAGCCACTGTAACAAGATGCAGCACTTCCCCTAACTCAGGAAATCTGAGATTCAACCTTATGGGTGAGTCATCTTCTTTCCTCCCACATCTGGCTTTAGGATGAGGACTTACCTAGTAAGCTGAAAGAGCAATGAGGGGAGGAATCAGAACTCTTTCACAAACTTTCCCTTTTGCCAAATATTTCCAGCATTCCTTTAATTTGGTCTATAATCAAATTCTTTAAAAAAAAAAACACAAACCAGCACCAATGTAGATGCCATGATTTTGTAGATTACATAGCCAAACATAATAGAGCAGCAGAACTTCTAAGACTTGCTATGAGAACACACAAAACCTGGAAGTTCTGTAGATCATCAGTAGGTTTTCTTTCAGTGAATAGCCTTCTGTGGATCTGTGACCTTTCCTTCCTGTAGACAGATACAACACTAATGAACTGCCTGTGTGTGACTGAAAACTGAGGTAATCTTGTAGCATCCTGGACATTTTGCAGAATTTTAACTTTTCAGTAGCGGCTTCCTCTTACACTTTTCCTCTTTCCAAGGACAGATGCAGTACATATCTAGCCAAAGGCATGGTGATCCTTTCCCAAGCCCAACCAATCTGGATCGCTCTGCTCAAACAACAGAACTTCTGCTGCTTCTGGCTAGGTTGTGACAGGTCTTCTGGAATGTCTCCTCTTTCATTTGTTGGGACTGAATGTTTTCATGGTCATTAAGTTGAACATAAAATGGACAGTCTATAGAAATCAAACTACCATTTCATGAGTTGTAAATGCAAACTACAGCAATTCCAGGGGAGCAATGTTTTCTGTCTTCAGCAAACACATTAGAATGTACACTCAACACCTCCCCACACTCAACGCACACAATATTTCCTAAAAGGTTTTTCTTCAAGTAGTTTTAAAAAGGGGGTTCAAGTCAAGGCAGACTATGAGTGCAATGTGTCTTGATCAGTATCACCCCTTTTGTTCTCATTTTTCCCAATCAATCAATTCTTAAAGGAAAGCATCTTAGGTCATGCAAGAATGTATGGACTTGAAGCAGTTCTTTTTTTGGGGGAAGAGTACTAGTACTTGTTAGGGCACTGAGTCATGATTGTTGGAAATACCAAGCAGAGAAAAGCAGGTAAAGGCAGAAACCTCAGCAGACCAGAGAAAGCTGTAATCACTGCTGCAGAGGAACTCCATGGAATACAGAGCAGGGTGGCTGAAAAAAAGCTAGGGGTGGAGTGGGTGGGTTTGGTTTTTATACATTTGAAGATGAAACTCTTTGGAATTTCTTTGTCCTTTCCTGTTGGGAATTTATTGTCAGAACTGTCCCGTTTGGGATTTATGGTGCTAACAGTTCTTGTCTGGGGTTTCACATAGGGGTCACCTCTTGATGCCCCTGGCAGTCCTACTATTTCAGGTAAGGCTAGGGGTGGAATTTTCCTGAGAGCCAGAAGGGAGAGGGTGGTCAGTGGTCCATGGGAGCAACATGGAGTTCTGAGAACAAAGCAGATTCCCATCACTACTGGGGTGTGAATTTCACACAGTAGCAAAGGTGAAATTTTAACCACAGCTTGGGCCTGTGGCTTCTTGTCACTGTCACATTCTTTGCTCTGCTGCTTTTGTGCATCTCCATCCAATCTTTGCAGGAGACTCCAAGAATCTGAGATCTTCAACACCTGTAACACGGACGATAGCAGAATTCTGAGTGACTACCTAGAGCAGAAGTTTCACCTCGCTTTAGGAAAGCTGTAAGGAGGAGGTCTCCAGGTGGCCGGATGTATATAGGAGAGCCAAACAGAGATGTGCTCCAATCATCCTAAAGCCAGTGTATGGGGGTGCTGCTTCAGGTGAAAATGGCATCGTTCCCCTCAGTTCCTTATCGTGTTCCAGCAAGCATGTCAACTAGCCTTCAACCAACACGCTTGCTTCTCACTACAAACTTGTCCTAGGTAAGGAGAGCCCATTAGCACATGGAATATGGCTTAGAGAAGGTGGTGTTCGGTCCATCCTTTCAAGCTTTGAATACTCCACATGGCTGTGGGGTTCCTTCCGGTGGTCAGCAGTCCTAGGCCTAGGTGAACTGTTGTTGGCTGGTGAATATTCTAGAGGCTGCAACCTCACTGTGAGCAAGTCCTCAGTGGGTCAGGCCACCGTGGGAGACTCACCAGTACGCACAGGTCTAGACAGCGGGGCCTGGACGACACGGCCAGAGCAGGCCTGGCCCAGGCGGCACCAGGCTCGGAGCAGGCCACTCTAGAGCAGTCTGCATCAGGCTCGGAACAGGGCACTCACCTGGCCGCACTAGGCTGCAGCGGGCCCCAGGCCCCTCCGCGGCCGGTGGACCGGCTCTAGTCCTATGCACCATGCGGAGCCGGGCCTCCATCAGTCCCACCAGGAAGGCTCACTTCCGGGAGAAGGCGCCTGCCCGGGGCGGCCCGCGGCCTCCACAGCAGTGGTACGGCGGGGGCGGAGCTCCTCAGCCCGGGCCGGACACCGCCCGTGGAGTCGCCGCGTGGTGACGTCACGACGCCCGCCCCGCCCCAGTGCGCGCCCCGCCCCGCCGCCGATCGCCAGTGGGCGCTGGCGAACAGCGTCTCCTCGGCAACCAGGCCCCGCCCCGCCGCCCCTTTAACCTTTAGGGCGCGCGGCTCGGCTCCGCGCTCGCCCCTTCCCCGCCCCTTCCCTCTGCGCGGTGGCCCGCCCGCCCGGAAGCGAAGATGGCGGCGACGGCGGCGGCCGGGGCGGCCTCGGCCGAACTGGTGACCGGCTGGTGTATATTCGGCCTCTTGCTGCTGGTAGGGCGGGCGAGGGGCGGGCAGCGAGGGCCCGGGACCCCACGACCCGGGGACCCCACGACCCGGGGACCGCGGCCGCCCCGCCCTCAGCAGGCCCGGACGGCGGCTTCCCGGGCCGGGTGATGCGGGGACCCGCGGCTTCCTGCTCAGACCTGCGTGCCCGGGGCGGGGTCGGGGGCAGGGGCGGAGCCGAGGGAGGGAGGGGGTGGGGAACGGGAGAGCGGGGGGGGGGGGGTGTGAGGGGGGGGTGAGAGGACGGGAGGGCGGAGGTGGGAGCGGGGGGGGACGGGGGTGGGGGAGATGAGGGGACAGGGCCGGGGGTGAGGGTGGGGTGAGAGGCTGGGACCGGCTTTTGACCCCTCCCCCTTGCACTCCGCCCCCGGGGCTGCATCTAGCCTTGTTGACATATTATTGTCCGCCTGCCCTGTCCCACCCTCCCACCTCCCCTCTGCCACCCTCCCCTCCACATCCTGTCCTCCCCAGGCCCTGCCCTCCATCCCTCCCCTCTCTCCTCCCCTCCCCTGGCGTTGGAGTCAGTCTTCTGGGCACCTCCCACCATTCTATCCTGATGACTACTGTTTGGACTTCCAGGTTAAATTCCCTCCCTGCCTTTCCCTGCAAGGGTCACCTCCTTGTAGGCTTTGGATCAGGACCCTGTGGGTCACCTCCTTGTAGGCTTTGGGTCAGGACCCTGTGGGTCACCTCCGTGTAGGCCATGGGTCAGGACCCTGTGGGTCACCTCCGTGTAGGCCATGGGTCAGGACCCTGTGGGTCACCTCCGTGTAGGCCATGGATCAGGACCCTGTGGGTCACCTCCAGGTAGGCCGTGGGTCAGGACCCTGTGGGTCACCTCCACGTAGGCCGTGGGTCAGGACCCTGTGGGTCACCTCCGTGTAGGCCATGGATCAGGACCCTGTGGGTCACCTCCGTGTAGGCCATGGGTCAGGACCCTGTGGGTCACCTCCGTGTAGGCCATGGGTCAGGACCCTGTGGTTCGCCTCGGTGTTGACCACGTCCATGCGGCCACATTGGTGTAGGGCCAAGTCCATGTAGAGTGCTGCCCTTATTGGGCCAAGTGCAGTGTCAAGGTTTGCTACTGTCTGTGACCTCCGGTGTCTTTGTCCAGCCATCTTGTGTTTGGTGTTTATTGTTTTTTTTTTAAGTTTTTAAAATTATGCTTAAGTGGTTCATTAACATCTGACCATACTGGCCCAGAGTGGCCCAACCGTTATTGTCCTACCCAAAATTAAAACAATTCAACTTGTGAAACACTTTTTGTACCTCTGCCTGTCCTCGGGACTCATTTCCTCAGTGTCTTCATGCCATCCTACTAGTATCCAGTGTTTTCTTGTTTTACAAAGTGAATACAAATAGAACAAACAAAAGTCTTCTGTCTGAGCCTGGCACCAGTGGCTCACCCCTGTAATCTACATACTCAGAAGGCTGAGATCTAGAGTCATGGCTCAAACCCAGCCCAGAGAAGGAAAGTCTGGGAGACTCTTACCTCCAGTTAAACTGCACAAAGCTGAAAGTGGAACTGTGGCTCAAGTGGTAGGGTGCCATCCTTAAGGGAGGTGAAGAGACTTGAGGACACCTGGGTCCTGAGTTCAAGCCCTGGTACTGGTGCAAGAACAACCTTGTAGTTTATCAGATTCCCTACATATTTGTTTTTAGCATGTTTTGTTAGTAATTTTTTTTATAAAGCAGAGGATGTATAAAAAACAGTAAGAATTGAAAATTTAAGGAAGGGCTCCTCATGCTACTTTCTCCAGTTTCTCTACACTGCAAGTTGCTTTACTCATGTCTTGAGGAACTGGAAACCACAGAAGTTGATGGTGGGTTCCAGAGCTGTCCAGTTCTGTACTTGGATACTATGCTGCCTTTTCCAGTCCATCAGATTCAGTTTATTTAGGATAAAAAAGTAAGCGTGTAGCAGTAATAAGACTTAGTGGACCGTCTTGCCAGTGATTAATGAATATGATTGTATGATACAGAAGTTTTGCTGTAAGTTGTACCAGGATACGCATGAAACAACACAGGGTTTTTAAGAAGGCCAGAAGATAGATGGGAATACTAAAATTCTTGAAATATGTATTTTAGATATTGAAAGCCAAAATAGGGATTTTATAACTGGAATAGGACTTCTGAGAGTTGAGAAGAATGTTGAAAGAAAATGAGAGTTGAGGTTGGCTTTGAACAATTGAAAAAGGGGGAGTTTTGTTGGCAAAATTATACCAGAAATAGATGAAATGAGACAAAATTTAGGACTGAGAAATTTAGATGTGGGAATGGGAAGAATTAATAACAAAGTCATTGTTAAAATCTGTGCGAATCTTAATTCCTGGTCTACTGGAACAGAGCTGGATTCTCCTGTCTGGTTTTTCATTCAGTATTTTACTTTTATTTTAGTGTTTGTGTGTGTGCATGTGTGTGTGCACTTTGTGTCTGCACGGCTGCTGAGACTTGAGTCCAGGGTCTTGCATTGTCACTTAGCTTTTTTACTCTGTACTGGTGCTCCACCATTTGTCACAACCCCACTTCTGGCTTTTTGGTGGTGAATTGGAAATAAGAGTCTCTTGGACTTCTCTGCCTGCCTGGTTTTTAACTGTGATCCTCAACTCTCTCCAAAGTAGCTATGATTACAGGCTAGCCATCACTGCCCAGCTTTCAGTCAGCTTTTTGAGATAAGTTATTTTGGTTGAAATATCTGAAGAAAATCCAGTTTCCATGGTACATGGTTGGAGGTAGAAGAGTGTTGTGGATAGTGTTGGGTGTTCTTTGTTAATACACTAAAACCCAGAAGCTTTTTAAAGGTTGGCTGCAAAATGGAATAAAAAAACAAAACAAAAAAACAATCGGTAAGCCTTTCATTCTGCAACAGTAAGCTATTCTTCTGGGCACCAGTTGCTTTGGCTACTGTCACTACAGTTTTGGAAAACTTGTGAGCTTGACAACTTTTCAGTAGATTAGTTGAGTATGGTATTTTGCTAATATGTAATGAAAAGTATTAGAAGATGTATGTAGCTAACAGAACAAGTTCTTTCCACATGGCCGTCAGGATGTGTTTCAAAGAATCATTCATGGGCAAAAGAGCCACTCCAAAGAAAGCTGGACTAATAGCCGTGTGTGTGTGTGTGTGTGTGTGTGTGTGTGTGTGTGTGTGTGTGTGTCTGTGTCTGTGTCTGTGTGTGTCTGTGTGTGTCTGTGTATGTGTGTCTGTGTCTGTGTGTGTACACATGTGTGGTGTGTACTAGGGCTTGAACTCAGGGCCTATGTGCTGCTCCTTGGTGTTTTCGCTCCAAGTAATGAATGCTGTTAAGCTTGAAGCATTAGTTTTGTTTGTTTGATAAAAACCTTGTTAGTCTGAATAACTTCTTTCACATCAGAATCATGCTGCTTGTGAAGAAGGGATGCTTTGTTTTTGCACTGTGAGGATGAGGGCTGTCCGGTGGCTGCATTCAGCCGGTGGAAGGCAGCAGGACACTTTATATCGTCTCAGTGTTTTAAAAACATGGTTTGGGTCAGAGTTTAATAAAAAAAATTATTTTTTACTGTTTTCATCATGCCTAGACCAATTAAAGCTCAACTTTAAAAAAATTTTCCTGTCCTTTGAGATGTTACTTCATCAGACATTTAGTTACCATCATTGTAATTTGTTTGCAGTTACCCTGGCCACCGACCATACTAAGAACTCCATCTCTTATTTAATCCTTAGAACTTGTCATGAAAACTCCTATTCCCATCCATCTTACAGAGGGGGACAATGGGTTACTTTAGCGTATGATTTCTGTTGTTAGCTACAATATAACCACACAAAGAAAAAGGTCTTTGATATTCTTAAAACCAAAGGTCCACATCTCCGGCATAACTTCTGCCCTGTTGCTGACAGTAGCTCCCTTTCAACTCTGGAAAAGCGCAAATCTCTCATTCTCATAACCCAACAACAAAGTATGCTCCACACTTGGTGAAGTACTGCTAAGGCTTAGGTCCCAGTGAATTCAAAACATTTCAGAAATATTTAAAATGTTTCTGAATTCATTTTAAAGAAGACATATTAAGTGTTTATAAATAACCTTTTGTAGAAGAAAAAGACACTTTGCCAAAACAACAAAATCAGTAAACACTTGAGCCAGAATTTTAGCGTATCTTTTTATTTTTGTTTTGCTCCATCATCCAAATTCTAGAGTCTTAAATCTCTCTCCCTCCCTCCCTTCCTTCTCCCTCCTTTTCTTTCTCTCTCTTCCTCCCTCCTTCCCGTCCTCTTTCCCTCATCCTCCATCCCTCCATCCCTTCCTGTCTCCCTCTCTCGCTTTCTTTTCCTCCCTGTCTCCCTTTCTCTTTGGTGCTAGTATTATGGCTTGAATTTTACCTAGGTGCTGTCTTTTAGCTTTTTTATACTCAAGACTGGTGTTCTATTACTTGAGCCACACATTCACTTCTAGCTTTTTGGTGGTTAATTGGATATGAGTCTCCTGGACTTTTCTTTTATATTTGTATATCTATATGTATATTATTGTAATAATACTGTACAGAGGGGTTACAGTTACATGAGTAAGGTAATGAGTACATTTCCTATCCAGCATTGTTACCCCCTCCTTTGTTTTTCCCCTACCATCCCTTCCCTCCTCACTTCCCCAACTC